TGCACGGATTTTGCGACGCATCTACTTCAGCTTTCGCTGCTGCTGTTTATATCAAGGTTTTAAATGAGAATGGAGAAGGTGTAGTGAACTTATTTTTGTTAGAAATCGAGTAAGCGAAGTGCGATACGCTCAATGGCGCTATGTCTCTACGAACGATAACCCTGCTGACTGTGCTTCCCGTGGTATATCATCTGCTGACTTAGTTGCTCATCCTCTTTGGTGGACTGGTCCACTATGGCTCTCTCAAGCTCCATCTACTTGGCCCAAACAACCAGAGAACTCCTACGAAACCTGTCTCGAAATGCGAAAGTCTGCATTAAAAGTAAACTCGTCTACTGTCTCGGAATATCCAGAATTGCTCTCAGCATATTCATCTCTTACGAAACTAACTCGGATCACTGCTTATATCCTGCGTTTTCTACAATATAAACAAGGATCGAAGGAACGGATGACTGGTTATCTCAGATCTTCTGAACTGAAGAAATCGCTGCAGAAATTAATTACTCTGTCTCAAGGTGTGGATTTTGGACTCGAAATCCAGCAGTTACAGAAGGAAAAAGGTGTTAATTCCAGTAGCAGAATTGCCCAGCTTTGCCCATTTCTCGACGAAGATGGTCTTCTTCGTGTTGGAGGACGTCTACAAAAGGCTAAGTTTCATTATGAATTTAAACACCCTATTATTCTGTCGAAACAAAACCCATTGTCTCTTTTAATTTTTACAGATGCACATCTGAAGACTCTACATGGCGGCCTTATTCAAATGCAGGCGTATGTTACTCGAAGGTTTTGGATACTTTCTGCCCGCAACCTAGCTAAAAAAGTGCTACGCAGCTGTATTACTTGTTTCAAGTACAAGGCCAAGTCATCTCAGCAAATAATGGGAAACCTGCCATCAGTACGAGTTCAACCGACTAGACCATTCAAGCACAGTGGTGTTGGCTGCGCTGGCCCAATAACCATTAAGCAATCGACAGCTCGAAATTCAGTTATGACAAAGGGATACATCTGCCTCTTTGTCTGTATGGTCACCAAAGCGCTGCACCTTGAAGCTGTCACCAGTCTTTCTTTCTAAATCGATTTAGACGATTTACCTCACGGCGAGGCATGTGCTCTGACCTCTATTCTGACTGCGGCACAAACTTTGTTGGTTCTAATAAAGAACTCAAAGTTCTACAAAGAAGAAGTATTGAATCCCTACCGGAAGATCTAGCAAACCTTCTCGCTAACAACGGTACAAACTGGCACTTTATACCACCCGCTTCGCCAAACTTTGGAGGTCTCTGGGAAACTGGTGTAAAATCTGCAAAACACCATTTGAAACGCATTATGGATAGTCGAATCCTAACCTATGAGGAATTGTCCACTCTCTTGACTCAAATTGAAGGATGTCTTAATTCCAGGCCGCTTTGCCCCATTTCAACTGACCCAGCAGATTGTGAAGCCTTAACTCCATCCCATTTCCTGGTTGGAGAGCCAATTTTATCTGTCCCAGATGAAAATCTATTAGACCACAATATAGATAGGCTTTCCCGCTGGAAAGTAGTTCAGTTGCTCAATCAACAGTTTTGGAATCGATGGAAGACAGAATTTATCAACCGGTTACAATCCCGTCCAAAATGGCTCAAACCTCAAAAGAACGTTGAAGTTGGCGATTTGGTCATCATATTTGACGAACGAGTTCCCCCAGGTCAATGGCCACTAGCCCGAATTACAGAAGTCCATCCCGGTGCTGATGGAAAAGTCCGAGTTGTTTCCCTGAAATGCAGTGGTAAAATCTATAAACGTCCTGTCTCTAAAGTTGCACTTCTGCCCCAACAACAAAACTTTAATTAAGCAAATGGTCCTGAAAAGAGTTGCTGTGAGCCGAGGCACAGCGTGGTTAGCTCGGAAACCAAATAAAACACCTCTCAAATCTGCCCCAATCTATGTCAAGAACAGTTGTTCTTTGTGCGGGGGAATGTTGGAGAATCAACGATTATTTATTTACTATTTTATTTATTTCGATTTTATTCTTTAATAATTTATTATTTATTTATATTTATTATTTTTCCCTTATATTACCATTCTAATATGGCATCCCTATTTTCTTCCCTAAACTGTCACCAACTGACATCCCTAATTTGTTATAATTTTCTAATTTGCCTATTCCTATTTTTCTATGCCTAATGTTTCAAGGCCATAATTTGGCAACGTAGCACGGACAATGATATTTGTTTACTCTGTTACGTTATTCTTTGTTATTGTTGTTGTTGTCGCTGCATTGTTTATTTACTAAACATAATGCAGCGACGTCGTAACAAAGGTAATAGCGAAAGCAGAGACAGTAAATATGATCAATGCAGCCGTGCTATGTTTATTTTTAGAATCAAAGTTTTAGTTCTGTCGTTATACTCTGCCGTGCTGCATTAAACCGATCTATCGAACAACATTAATTCTGCCTTGCTGCAATTGTTAAATATAACTTAACTCGGTTTTGTTAAATTGATTAATTATTAATTAAGGTTTTTTATAATAGTAATAATTATTGATTGTCCCGTCGGGAGCATAAAATTTACAAATTATATTAAATTATAATTTATTGTTAAATAAAGTTGCCCCAGAGACAATTTAAATTTTTTAAGAAAACTCTTTGTGTTTTTTTTTTTGCGCTGGCTCGAGGTGCCATTTAATCTCATACAATTCCCTTTATATCTTTTAGGCAAGTAAGCGTTTGGATTCTTTCGGTTAGAAAGAGATCAAGATCTTTCCAAGAGGACAAAGCAGATTTATCTTTTATATTTTGTTCCCACAGCGTAACTGTATCTTTGGGAAGTCTTTGCAAACAAAGAAATACTAAAATTGGGTCCCAATTATCCGTAGGAACATCGTAAATGGCCATGGCAGAAACACACCCATTCATACCTCTTTGTAAATTTTTTAAAGCAGCGCTTGTCTCATTATCTATTATTGGAAGATCAAAAAGAGCTTTAATTTGGTTGTTAACCAAAATGAGAACATTATCATAAGCTTCTTTTAAAGCTTTCCATGCCAAGCTAAAACTTTTATGAGTTAGGGGGAATTTTGATACTATATCTCGAGCATCACCACTAGTTTTTTTGATTAAATGGCATAATTTTTCTATGTCACTAAGTCGAGAATTACTTATATACACAGCCGAAAAGAAATCCCGGAAGGTTGGCCATGTAAGAATGTCACCATTGAAAACATCAATATCACAAGGTGGAAGATTGATGCTATGTGCAAAACTATCATTAAGAGAAATATGAGTAGCATCTGCAAGAGTAACTGTTTGGTGCGAAACACCAGAAACCGAAGAGGCAAAGTCACTTGTGAAGGGACCGGTGGATTACTAACTTTAGTTGGAGTGGGAGTTTTAGGTGTAGGACGAAGTAGATCAACCTTTCTATTGAGGGAAGATAAGACTTTTACATATGCTCTAAAAGCGACTGATATTTGCTTTCAACTGAGAGAACTTCTTCTTCAGAAGGGTTTTCTTCGATGTGAATCTCGTTCATGCATTTTTCATAACATTCTTTGACTTTACGCCAAAGTTCCTTAGCTTCAGTTGCCTGAATTTCTAAGGCATAGACGTCAAGATCTTCCTCCTGGAGGGAGGTGATGCATGCGTCGTGGCTCTGATGAAGAAGTCTAGTGGAGTCAAAGGCATTTTGATAAAGAATTAATTCAAAAATAAAGAAAATAATATTCCTCGAAGAAGAAAATTTAACAAAATTTTTATATTTATTCAGAACACTTGTGGGAAGTGTAGAAATAAGACAATGATTTTTAGAAAAAATGGATTAAAAGCCAAAATGTGACCGTAAAATCAAAAATCGAACTAATAAAACCCAAAAATCAATTATTTTCTCAATTAAAATTGAACGAAAATTCAAATTATTCAACAAGCAGAATGCTTAAAATCGAAAAAATCAGTGATGTATCGTAAATACAACAACTTTTTTCTTATAGAACCACAAAAATTATCAAATTTCCAAAAAAAAAAAACGAAAAATTTTAAGATATAAATTTTTTTTCAGTGTACTGAAAATTTCAAAAATTTCTCTAAGTGTATATGGAATATACAAAGTTTTAATTATAACACCGGAGGTGTCCAAAAAAATTAAAACTTTTTGAAAAAGAGAAAAATTTAAATAAAATTGAATGGTATTCACTAATTTTTAAAATTGCAGGATGTAGTGTGCACGTACTGTAGGGTACACACGATCACGTTAAATTCAATATATTAATATTGGCAAAAAATATTTTTTTTTTTTATGTTTATATTGATATATATTTTTTTCAGTGTACGACCGATTGTAGGGTGCGTTACGATTTTTTTTTAAAAGTTCTATTTTCGATCGTGTTCGAAAAACCAAGCGAAATTATTAATCAAAAAAAAAATTATTTTTTATAAAAAATATTTTTCAAAAATATATCACTCCACTTTAATAACCCTATTCGTGAGTATACAAAGGTTTGAAGTGGGAACAGTGAGAATGCGATCGAACATTAACAACAACAACAATACTGGTTAATGCTGTTAATGCAGTTGTGTGTTTCAGTGAGTGCCGGTATATTTGTTATTGTTTTTTGTTTTCTTTTTTGCTTTAGCCTTTTAATATTTTTTCTATTCAAACACTGTTCAGGCTATTTTGTTTGTATATTTATTAAATGTCAAAAAACACTGAAACAACGTAGGCACTTTTTCACTGTTCTCACTAGTTTTATTTTTATTCTTTTTTGTTTTATTTTATTCTCGTAGAGAAATATCACTTTGTATACGACCGAGTGGGTATGAAGCGATTCTCAATTACAACAACAACAAGCCGGGTATTGCAAAACGACCAGGTTATGTTTTTTTCGGAAATTTAAAGAAAACAATGACACTCGCGAATGCACTCTTAAATAGAGATACGTACCTTGATTTTTTTTATTGTTATTAAATAAAATAAAATGATGAGAAATGAGGATGGGTGATTTTGTAATTTTGTGGTGTTGGTTGTCTTCTAAAAAAGGGGGAAGAAGAAGAAAACCTTTGTATTAATTGTCGTGAACAATTAAACTATCCGGTTCGCTCAGGACCAAATGTTTGCGTAGCAATATGAAAAAATAAAAATAAATGAAACAAAAGGAGTTAGAATTTTTGTTGTCAATATTGACAGTGGGTTTTATTGATAGTAATTAGAAATATTATCGGAAATAATATAACTTACAAAATTGTTGTGATGGCTGGACGTAATCCAAAACGAGAAGTAAAGTGACGTTTAAAGCAACGAGAGAAGCGAGAGAGTTGCAAAGTGGCGCTTAATCGTAGATGTCACTCGTTACAATGCATATTTGACAATGCATATTTGTGATGGAAATCACAAAAAATATGTTTAGATTAAACAGTGCAATAATATTGTTAATTTTTGGTAGGATCAATCGGAATCAAAAATAAACAAAATTTAGACCTGATAGATAGAAGCTATAAACGAATGAAATTAATAAAAAATATGTTTAGATTAAACAACTTCGTCCATAATAAAGACAGGTGAGTAGGCTTAGTTGTGTAAATGAGAAGGACCAACATGACGTCTAGTCTTAACCCACAGGTGGTTGCACCATCTTCATCTTAACTATGCTAAGCATACTTGTGTTTCTCTGGACAGTTGTTTCTCATCTGCTTCTGGGCATAAATAGCATTTATACAAAATTTTTATACCCTCCACCATAGTATGGAGGGTATATTAATTTTGTTTTTCCGTTTGTAACACATCGAAATAATCATTTCCGACCCTATAAAGTATATATATTCTTGATCAGCGTAAAATTCTATGACGATGTAGCCATGTCCGTCTGTCTGTCTGTTGTAATCACTCTAGCGTCTAAACGAATTGAGATAGATCGCCAAAATTTTGCATAGAGTCGTCCTTTGTCTGCAGGCAGGTCAAGTTCGAAGATGGGCTTTATCGGTCCACGTTTAGGCATAGCTCCCATATAAGGGTACCCCCCATTTTTCGGTATTTTGAGGTTCTTGAGCGCGTTTTTCAACCGAATTCGCTGAAATTCGGTACATTGGGTTCTTATTGGGTACCAAATTTCCCCACTAAAAATTATAAATATAGGTCCATATTTTCGGATAGCCCCCATATAAGGATACCCCCAATTTTGCGATATTTTAGGGTTCTTGAGCCAAATCTCCCCACTAAATCTCCCCAAATCCCCCACTAAAAATTATAAATATAGGTCCACTTTTTCTGGTAGCCCCCATATAAGGGTACCTTCCAATTTCCAGTTTTTGTGGGGTTTTGACCGGATTTTTTCACCGAATTGGCTGTAATTTAGTAATTTCAGTTATTATTGTGTATCAAATCTCTCCACAAAAAAATTATAAATATAGGTCAATTTTTTCGGGTAGCCCTCATATAAGGGTGCCCCCAATTTTCGGTATTTTCTGGTTCTTGAGCACGTTTTGCCACCGAATTCGCTGAAATTTAGTATTTTGTTGTCGTATATGGTAACAAATCTCCCTACCAAAAATTATTAATATTCGCCCCCTTTTTGGGGTAGTCTCCATATAACCCCCTTTTTATACCCTCCACCATAGTATGGAGGGTATATTAGTTTTGTTTTTCCGTTTGTAACGCATCGAAATACTCATTTCCGACCCTATAAAGTATATATATTCTTGATCAGCGTAAAATTCTAAGACGATTTATGCATGTCCGTCTGTCGGTCTGTCTGTTGTAATCACTCTAGCGTCTAAACGAATTGAGATAGAGCCCCAAAATTTCGCATAGAGTCGTCTTTTGTCTGCAGGCAGGTCAAATTCGATGATGGGCTATATCGGT